AGATAATACATGAGAGCTCCTGCAGTTGCATAGACCCGGAAGATATACGTATCTTTATTTACAGTAATACAATAAGATGAATAGATTAGAAATGAGTGTAAGGGGAAGGGGGGACTCCAAATGAGAGTCTCATTTGTCCTCCTAGGCAGTCCCAAGGACCGCCCCTACTCGGGAATAAAAGGGCTAAGCACAGGGGAGGACACATTTGCATAAGAATAGACAAATCATTCAATAATAACAATAGTAACTAAAATATCAGTTTGGCTCGGAGCTGACAGTAGATAGTTTCAGTCATTAGACCGGCACCCTTTATGAGAAAGGTCCTACCAGTCCAATATAGACTATTTTAGATGAGCCTCGTCATTTCGAGTCAAGAAATGGGTGAATGGTTTCTTTTCCTTTGTTTCGGCATGAAAAAGACCACAAAGCAGTGGATATTCAATTTGAGTAAGATTACAAAGATGATGCATAGACTTTTCATTTAATTCTCCAGAATATTGCTACATTTAAAGTAACCCTCCCATCGGCTAAAGTTTCTCTGCCGGAATAGTGAATTCGATCATTTTGAACCTCCAATCGTCTTTTGTGCTTTCGATGGCCATTCTTTTCAATCGAAACCAAACGGGCAAAATGAATGAACCACTTAGCTTATACAGATTTTTGTGCTTTTCTATGAACTTTGAAATTGAATCTCCAGCAAAAAATAATGATACTTTAAATTTTTCCATCATAAATTTATTCGACCATACAATATATCACAGTTACTTTATAGTGAACGAACATTGGCTGAAAAAATCATTACTTTCCATATACATGGCTGAAAGAATCATTACTTTCCACATACGGAGAGCTCGAAGGGAAAATCAACGCGTTGCAGAGCGAGAACTCTGACCTCGGAACCCAAATGTGAGTTTGTTTGGTATCCCTTGCCGACTGCGACTTGAGAAAACAGTTTTTCCATTCCCATTCCACTCAATCCAATCAATTTCGCTCTAGACAATTTGAAAGGGAAAACAAAACGGCGGAAATTGTGAAGTTGAGGGCAGATTTGTGAGTTTTTTTTAAGGAAAAGCATTCAGTATTTGTCTAAAGAATCTGGAGTAATGTTTTTCGAAGAAATTCAGAAATCGAACGATGACTTTCTTGGAACTGGATGGATGGTCGTATTTGGCAAAAACCTCTTCTTGGTACAAGGTTTGGTGGATGTTGTGAACCAGGATTATCTGCATCTCAAGGCGTTCGATCAAGAAATGTCATTCGATGAAGCCGAGGCATATTGTGCGAGTCGAAAGGGCCATTTAGTCACAATTCACAGTCAAGAAGAGCACGCTTTTGTCTGGAAACTCGGTAAGAAATCGAAATGATTCAATTCTGAAAATTCATGATTTTCGTAGAAATTTATGCTTTATAAACAAAAACAATCGATATTTATTTCAGCGAAAAATGTTATTTGGAAATTTGTGTTCTGGATCGGACTGAAGGTTGAATTATTCTTATTGAAAGAACTAAATAAAAAATTTGTTTCTTTGATCTTAAATAAATGTTATAAGATTGATTAAGCCAGTTTTTACACTTTTCTGCAAAATTTTGGTATCTCAACATCTTTTTTAATTTAGGGATGTCGCTATCTCAGAAAGGTGGAGTGCTACTTCACGATGCAGATGGACACGAGTATCGGAAGGACAAAACAATCTGAAAAGGAGTAGCTACAGCTTATCGGTAATTTCTTTTGACTAGTTTGGTTGTATATTCGTTGAACATTATAAAGTTTTCTTTCAGTGGTACGAAAACAAACTGCCGGGGAAGGATGCATAAAGATGAAGCAACTGGAGTCCTTTCTGTCACCAACGAGCACGCTATGACCTGCCTGCCATTGAAAGAAAAAGAAGAGGTACGTTTTATTTTGTTTAACTTATTGTTTCTTGTTTATATTTTTAGATACGTGGGATACACTCTGGCGCCAAAAACGATCGGATTGCTGGAGTTCCGACGAAGGAAATTATTAAACGACGTGTTCTCGGAGCTCGCCCACACCTATTACCTTTTCTCAATGCCAAGGGAATTCAACAAATGGCTCGTCGGCAAGTCAAAGTCGATGGTTATTTCTTTTGAATATTTGTTAAATTTTGTTATTTTTCAGATGTCCGGGCTTTCAAAAGAAAGGTATCAGAACTTATGCCGCACCCTGTAGAGTAGGTCTGGAAGCAGCTATACGCAAAAAAAGCAAAGATTTGCCACAGTTTAGCACCTTTTGATGAAAATCATTAAAGTTTTTACAGTTTTTTTCACTTAAATCATAGTTTTAAGCATTTTTGTCTTTCTTTCTTGTCATAAAGTGTTTATTTTCCAAATTTTGAATGGGTTGCCTTACTATTTAAATTCTAAATTTTATTGCTTGTCTCACAAGACGTCAAGATCAAGATCTTTGTCTTATAAACGCGCCAAAATTTCCCTTTTCAAATCCATTCTTGCGAGAATTTTTCAAGCAGAAAGGAGCCAATGGCTAATTTTGAAAAGCGTTTCTGCTAGATTAGGCAAATTTTTATCTCAAGATGAAAACTTTACAATATTCTAGACAAATCTTTAAATAGAGAGGACTTTTTGAGGTCAACACCAGGAAATTTATGTCAGAGATATTGTAAGCTAGAACGGAGCTAAAAAAATAAACTTTTGAAGAAAACCAATTAAAGTGTGACTTTGGATGATCTTTTGTGGTCAAAAGTCAAAAGTCCGTTTTCGAAGATCTCTTTTTTTTGTTGGATAGAGCTCGGTAAATTGAGGGATACACTGTGTTAACGTCGTACTCAAAGTGAAGGGAAGAATTGACACATTTCTTAATAATAAGAACGAAAAAAAGCAACAAAGCCTCAACTCACCTCACCTTTTCAAGTTCATTTGCCTCAAACTAGCCTTATCCGAGCGAGCCGTGTGTCCAGGTGCTGCTTTTTCTTGTGAGAACACGAAAGGTACACCCATGTTGTCGTCTTGCGTCTCTTCATTGGATGACCTACTCCATTTGATTCCTAAAAGTCGCAGATCTTACTATTAGGTTGGTAAAAAAGAAATGCGTGTTTTCGTTAAAAGTTTATTTTATTATAAAAACAAGATAACAATACATTAATCCAAAAGGTATTCGCCATCTGCATCAATGACTTGTCGCCAACGTTCACGCAGAGAATGGATACCCTTCTTGAAGAACTCGACCGGCTGCGACTTCGAACTAGAGCATCTTCGTCAAACACTTGAGATAGAGCGCGATGAGCTTCAGCAGCCGATTTGCCTTGCCTAAATTCATACCACAAGCGAGCCCGCAAGCGAAATTTGTGGTCCTACGTTTTCTAAACACTCTTTCTTGTAAAAAAACAAAGTAAACATAGCCAAATTATATATCAAACGATGCGCAAGAACACGCTCTTTCCAATAGAATAAACTATTTTAAAAAATCTTTTACTGTGAATAAAGTACAAATCAACAAACACGACGCTCATTTCTTTTTTACCAATCTAATATTATACTTACATACTCACTATTAATACTTACAGTTGTTAAACTATAGCAATCTTGTGCTTTTTGTGCTATCTTGTGCTTTTCTGTTCTTCCCAATCATTCTAGATTTCCACTCGTTTTTGCCTAATTTCTCTCCTTTGTCTTCTCTCAATTTTACCCTCCATTGTTCAAATCTTAAAGATCCCCATTCTACGAAATAATCTCTGATGTTTATTTTCAAATATCCCGAAGAAATTTTTCAAGTCTCATTTTTAAAGCAGTTTTTGTTTCGGGAGCAATTTTTTCAAAAACACTTCTTGTACCATGATTCGCATGGGAAAATTGAGTATCCAAGAGGTTTCATTTTTCATGTTTTTTGTTTGGCCAAAAAGTTTTTCTTCTTATTTATGCATTTTCATCGCTTTAAGCGAATGCGTATGCTAAAAACCTTATTTTTTTTTTGAAAAGTACGAAACTGAACTGAAATTGTGATTTTTGAGGGTCAACTTTCCCCTTAGAAGAAACAATTTGGGGCATTTGAATTTGAAAACGGGTTTCCTCACTTTCAAAGTCTTTTAAAATGTGGCAGGCACTAAATGCGCGTTTTGCCAGATGAATTGCATTTACGTATTGAGCACAAAGAACAAAGATACCATGTGAGTGTCTTTGTGAAAGTACTCTGTGACTTTGTGACGAAAGCATGCTCTGCGTATGAAGCACTTTACCACAAATGAGTTTTGACACCGGTTCTGTGCTTTTTATCCGGTTTAATTACCCAAGTTTGAGAGAGATCGGATAAACGATTGTTGTCGATTCTCCTAATCAAACCTCCTAATCTTCGAGCGATCTGGATATCAGTATTTCAAGCGATACACACAACCTTCACAACAGATCCGAACTTTTTGTCTTTTATCCTTTATCCGGATCTTTTGCATTGTAAGTCTAAAAGGTAAGGCCAGGTTTGCCAGGATCTAGCTTCTCGGCCTAACCTTCTGGTCAATTGCTGAAGCACACATCGGTTCAGGTGTAGTAAGATTTGAGCTAAAGCTACACAGCTACAGAGCTATAGGTAATCGCTTGGTTTCTAGCTAGAATACAGTCCACATCCGCATTTTCCGAGATTTCCCTTTCTGTACATAGACATCATTGTTGGTTGCACAAAAAGCTTTCCATTTCTTTCTAGAAGTTAGCAATTTTCAATGGCGTCTAGCCGCAAATTTTCCCTTTTTGAAATCACTCAAGGCAGCGAAATTAGTTTGCAGTTTTCTGACTGCATCCTGCAACTCTGAGATCTTTTTTTCTTAATTCTTAGACTCAATCCGCTATTCAGTTTTATTGGTGTGTGAAATTCGAAAAAAATGAGCTCAGAAAGGGGGGAGAGATTTTTGTGTTTTCTTTCGACTGAATACACCCAATGAACTACTGGGGAATTTCTGATAGTGAGAAGGCTAAGTTCTAGTCTAATTTCTTTGGCAATCTTTCAATTCTTTCTAAAATTTTTACTTTTAGAGTACATGGACTCATTTAAACAAACAGTCGCCCTTTACACGGTTGGTGGCTCGGGAACCGCGTTGAATTTCGTGCTCCTGTACTTGATTTCAACCGATAAAGCGGTGAGTTTGAAGGCCAAAAGTTTTTCGTTGATGTCCGAGAGTTGATTGACCTTCAACTATTTGAATAGCTCTTGTTTTGAGTCACTTTACAATCCCAGACGTATCTACAAATTAAAAGTACTCTTTGACTATCATAGCTTTCAAAATATAATCGAGATTTCACTTCTTTTCTGGTCTCTTCAAAAATCTGAAAAGCCTATTACGAATGAGATTCCAGGCCCACTAGATCATTCATGAATCTGGGGCAAAATGTCTTATAGTCAGTCTCACAGGGGAGGCAAAAGCTACTTACTACAAAAAGTTCTGACGCCTCTTTTAGATCACTTTTACGATGTTCTAAGAAGTTTTCAAGACTCAAAACCTACAAAATTGGCCTTTTTCAAGTATTTTTAGGCTAGAAAATTGTTACCTATCCTCGATTTTACTCATCTAAAAAATTTTATAGACCTTTTTATGAAAACATTTGAGGTCACAGGCTAAAATAGCTTTAAAACCGTAAGAAATTATAACAAACTCTTTTTGTAGCAAAATAGTTACTAAAAACTTTTGAAAATACCAAATTCGAATTTGCCACGAAGCTAGGAAAGCTATTTTAGATCTTAAATGTTTTGATAAAAAGTTCTATAAACTTTTCTATATGAGTAAAATCGAAGATAGGAAACAATTTTCTAGCCGAAAAATACTTGAAAAAGCCAATTTTGTAGGTTTTGAGTCTTGAAAACTTCTTAGAATATCGTAAAAGTGGTCTAAAAGAGGCGTCAGAACTTTTGTAGTAAGTAGCTTTTGTCTCCAGTCTGTCAATGACGAAACTCAATTTCAGAAAGGCGGCGATGGATATCGTCGAATGTTGGCCATTGTCACTGTTTTCAATGTCTATTACGCTTTCGTGCATTGTGTTTGCGACTTGGTTTGTCTCGATGGCAGGGCAAAGAAGCCCGTCAGGCAAGGGCAAATCAAGGTAAATCAGGAATCCAAAGAAATCATTCAATGTTCACTAAACAGTTGCTGTACTTATGCGCACTAAAACGAAGCTTTTGACCAATGGCCAATAGGAAAACAGCCACAACTGTCGAAACAAACCCAAATAGACTTAGTGCGTGGTAGCCGTAGCCTCGCACTAAGTCCAGCCTAAGCCTAAGCCGGAGCCTGAGCAGCCATAATTGTTGAAACATTAGTCAAAAGCTTAGTTTGAGTGTGTAGAAGTACGAACATTGAATGATTTCTTTTGATTTTTGATTTGCCTTGCCTTGCCTAACGAGCTTTTTTGGCTCGATGGAATCCTCTAAAGTCGAATCTTAGGCTTTCATCATTGACGAGAGCGGTTTTCTCGTGTTCAGCAAGAATTTGCACAAACTAGGCTTTTGGTATTCATACGTGATGACCACGGTGAGTCCAAGAAAAGTTTAATATGTAAATTTCACTAATAAATATGCAAATTTATCTCTAAAACTTTCAGGTTTACATAATCGCTTTTGAAATGTCCCTTTCTTTGCTCGGGATTCACTGCTTTTATCGATACGCAAAGATCACAGGGTTTATTTTGAGGAAAATGATAAATTTCAACATGGGATTTTAGCAAATACTCATCGATTTTTGAGAAATGGTATATGATATTATTGGTGGTAATTGGGTATTTCGTGATTGCGATCATTTATGGACTGAATTGTGCTCTCGATATGGCGGTTGGGGCTCTCGTCGTCGTTTTTTGCAATCTTTTGTTTTCTTTTTACTAAAAACTCTTTTGCCACTGTTTTAGCGAACTTTATGAAGTTTCACAAGCATCAGAATTTGATTAGACTTTAAAGAACAATCCTAGGGAAGGGTTAAGCCGTCTCTATCAAATGTTCAAAGAGTTGACTCTTTTCTGTTGCTTTCCTAAACATATATTCAAATAAGTTGCAAGTCGATCTTTTGTTGTTCCACGCAAATGACGGATTGAAGCCTTCATCGTGTCCCACGTCGCTTCTCCTGTAATTCTATGTTGACTATGTTGTTGAGTCACTTCAGAATCAACTTCGGAAAAATCGTGCAGATTTTTCAGATTTTTCAAAGCAAAACATGTCAGGGTAGAACTCAATCAGAACTACGACGGGGTTGTTGACCTAATCTGTTTTTTGCACTTAATTGTTAAAGCAATTAAAGGTCGAGCGAGGAGCAGGGCCTTTTTCACCGTCACTAAAAGGAATGCTGCCACTGTGCTTGTCTTATCCAACAGACTCTTGCTGCCGGTGGCTTTTTCAGTTCACTTGAGTAGCATTACTTATAAGGTACAAAAATCATTCACTTCAAGCTGGGGAAATCAAGCCACTTCAACGGCAAAACGACCATAGTTCGGTCAATCACAAGCTCCTGTTTGTCGACCCAAATCACCCCCACTATCCATACACAAAAAGTATAATGAAAATCTTTGAAACTTAAGCTCGATGAAGGATCGAATTGCAACTTATTTGAATAATATGTTTAGGAGAGCAACAGAGAATGGCCAATTCAAAATTCGAAATTTGATGGTTCATTGGACAGATTGAACTGAATTCTGATCAAACTGGTCCATGTGGAATTTAATAAAATCCGTTAAAACAATTGCAAAAGACCACGATTCAGGTTAATTAATTCAGGCCACGGTTGGTTAACTCTTTGTATAAGTAAAATCACGAATGATCTCGTTGTTTGTAGCCTAAAAAAACGGCAAACCTAGCCTAAAAGATCTATGCTTAAACTAGCCATAACTATTTCGTTTTAAAATGTACTATCTGGGGAAAACCCATGGGGAAATTACTTGATCTTTCCTTTCAGCCATCCCCGGCCAGTGATTTGCTGCGACGAGATGAGCTCCGGATTCGATATAATGTCAGCATTGATGGACTGGGATATATGGGACCTGTTTACAAGGTAGAAAACAAAAAATATAGAAAAAACGTTTTCGGTGTAAACATAGTTTAGTTACTTTTCAGTTAAAAAACCCACAAACAGGCAAAGTGGAGATTCTTTTCGGGAATATGCTCGGCTCTTTGAGTTGTCTGATTGTTCAAATGATTATCTTCACTGTTATCTGCGCGTGTGGATGGAAATTGTGAGTTTCTTGAATTATCGGAGAATTTGAGTGATTGGAATTTCGTTCAAAACTTAAAAACGTTCCATATAAAGTTGAGTAATCAAGCCCAGATGCTGGGCACATATTCTTCTGACAGTGGGAAGAGTTGACTGCCTTTATTCTCTATTCTCTATTGCTTTTATTCTATACAAAGTTGAGTAATCAAGTCCAGAGGCTATGTACATATTCTTCTGATAGTGAGAAGAGTTGCCTGCTTTGATTCAATTGTACATTTCAGAAGCCTTTTCAACTTAAGATTCTTGTATAGTTTACGTGACCATTCAAACATTCGAAAGCCAAAGATTACTCTGAAAGTTCAAACATTAAACTTGATCAGATTTCAGGTTCTTTTCTTTCAATTTCAGATACAATTTCGTGAGATCCGCGCTGATCAGCGAGAAAAAGAAAGCGATGAATATACAATTATTGAGATTACTCTTGATTCAGGTTTGATCTTTGTCTTTTCTCGATGAAAGCAGACTTCAGGGTCTCGCTCCAGTCATTTTCGATTACACCCCGGCGATGTGCACGATTTGGGGAGGGTTTATTGGTGAGTGAAACTCATGGGTAAATTCAGCCGTCATGGGATTGTTGCTGTGAACAAAAAATGTTCCGATTCTTTAAACAAAAGAGTTTTCTTGATCATCGAAACAAAAGATCAAGTAGGAAAACGTGTGGATTAATGACGCAATTTCAAAATTCGTTTATACTTTTTGTATTAATCCGTCATGCTGCATTGACTGCATTTCATTCACACGTTTTCCTATTTGATCTTTTGTTTTGATGATCAATAAATCTTTTCTTTTTCAAAAAAATCTTTGTTTAAAGAATCGGATGTTTTCAAGAGGGGTTTTAATTGATGGTTGACAAAAAGAAATATATATTAAAGTGAAAATGGCGGCTCCTCCAGGTCAAGAAGACAGTGTCAAAAGTCACGAAAAGTCAGTATATATTATATTCTAATTGCGTCAGTATATATTATATTCTAATATTATATTCTGACATATTCTGGCCTGACCTGAAAATTTGAACTTGCAATTAGAATTGCAATAGAATATTAATATAGGATAGAATATTGTGTACAAGGTGTGGCATATGCGCTCTACAAAAGTATGATTTTCTCAAAAACCAAAAGAGTTGACGATTTCTTCGTTTAGGCATTTCAAATCTGCGGACATTTTTTCACTAAATCCATGAGTTTGTGCAAAAATGAAAGACTTTAAACGTGATTGCTGCTCTTGAAAGAATGAAATCCGTCAAAAATGTGCCCGTTTTTGTTTAGCAATAACTCTAAAAACGTATTAATGCAGAAAAAGACTGAAAAACATTTCTCGTATTTTTTCCATAACACATAGCATTTTTTGTACTGTTCGGCTAGGGTTGCCAAAGCCATTCAAAAATCTTACGCTTCTTCTATTCTATGTAAAATTACGCGTAGATTTTATGATTGATGGCCGTTTTTCAGCTTTGGTTAATGTATTGTCTTAGAACGTCAAAAAAAATGCATTAAGGGCAATACTTTAAATGCCGCACCCTGTACTTGTCAACTTTTGAACGTCTACTCTGATAGCCACTCTAAAGCATGCCAGTGTTACCATAAATCTCTGGGAGGACGAAATAGGTCTATTGTCGTTCCTAAAAACGCTTTTAACTCACTTTCCATCAAACTTTCTAGTTCTTGGGAAGTGCCTAGAACCAGTCGACTCAAATCATTTGAGAAAAGTTCGGTTCCGGTTTGGGGTCAGGCAAATAACACTCAGTTTGATCAGTTTACCGAGACTTAATTTTTGCAAGGCGTGCCAGGAGAGTCAGAAAATGGTTAGCAATCACCTTTTGAAGAAGTTGGTGCGATGTGAACTTAGCACTTTTTCTCCCGAACCGATTTTGATCCAGTTTTTTCCCGATTTGGGACAGTAAATACTCCATTAACATTATCATTAACAAAATGCATTAAATTAACACCCTATATAAGATACAATTAATGTATTGTCTTAGAAAGGCAAAAAGATGCAGCGCGAAATCCTATATAAGCCTCGTAAGCTTATAAAAGTTCATCGAATTATCCCACTATTAAAGGAATACTATTAAAAAAGATGCATTAAGCGCAACACTATATTTGCCAAAGCCTGTATAAGATCCTTTGGATAAAAGAAAATCCTTTAGGTCTTCCATTGCACGAGGTGGCTATGTACATGCCGATCATGATTGCCAGCTATTCTCCCGCCGAGGCGCTCATGGTCATTTTTGGTTTCACGGTAAGGAGATCCTGATTGGCCGATATTTAGTTCCCAGAAATATTTTATAAGCTACTCTAAAGATATAAGAACCCAAGTCAATGTTTTTCTTCTCTAAAAAACAACAACAAACTGCAGACAACAACAACAAACAACAACAACAAACAACAACAACAAACTATTGAATCGTTCAGGTGGGTTTGACTGTAATCATAAGCTGTTAACATTGAAAGTTTCTAAATCGTTTAAAGAAAAACAAAAAATCACTACCTGTTCTTTGCGCGCGCGTAATCGCTCCTCAGCTGGCACACTCCACGGATGGATAGTCGCGTTGAAAGCGACGAAGTCGACGTGGGAACTTGGTCGCTTTCGAACTTGGTCGCTTTCAGCGCGACTATCTATCGGTGGCATGTACCAGATGGAGAGCAACACTTTGTTTCATTTCAGGCCTATCGACGCCGGATCTTGAAAATGGTCAAATTGAGATCCTCGGATGTCTCTGTTCGTCAACTCAGCGAGATCCGTCGCCCGGCAATCAGCAACTTGTCCATAATTTCAAATGGAAATAGATCTGAAATCACGAAGAAATCCGAGGAAATAAGTTATTCCAGCAATGTTAAACAATAAAATGGAATGCCTTTTAGGCCCCCAAAAAGCCACACAAAAATGTGCTTTCACAATTGATTTCAATTTGTTTCCCAACCGAAGTTTACTCTTACTCTCATCTACCGAATTGAACTTTTCAATAGACAAATTTGTCTAATTTTGCCCTCTAGTCGAGCAAAGCAGGTGCAATTTTTTAATGGGTGTAGCGCTCAAAATGTCACTTTTCTTTCCCGGAAAAAAAACAATTTTTCAAAATGATCTCAAATCAGTCGAATCTTATTGATTTTTATTCGAATCCATTCTTCGAGCTCACCATTTTTTACCATGTGATTGGACCATTTTCGTTGATTTTGAATGCTTTTGGCTTATATGTGATCATATTCAAAACTGATAAGGCGATCGGTGAATACAAATATCATTTACTCGTACATTTGGTGAGGCTTTTTTTTATAAACGCATTGGAAAGTAGAGATAATTGAAAATGTAGGAATGAATTTTCGAAGAAATCAAATTCATCAATCAAAATCAAATGAAAAAAGCGAAGGGAAAGGCAAAAGTCTTGAGCTTTTGAACGTGGAAGAAGGATAAGTTGGACGAAAAGCCAATGAACAAGTGTGAAATGTCATTTCTTTTGTTTTCTTTCCAAAATTCTGCGTTCTCTTTTTGTCCATTTCTGACTCATTCGCACACTTTTCGGCATCCGGAAATTGATGCCGTTAGACGAAGAAAAGAATGATTTGTACATTTCGAAGTGATGGTGCGTTGTTATTGGGTTATCACGGTAAATGAATTCCGGCAGCTAGACCGGAGCAAATTCGAGGCCGGGCCGCGATTTTCAAAGTAATTACAGTCGACGCTCGATAATAAATGATTGAGGGGATTCTCCAAAAATGATTTACGATCAAGCGTGATTTACTATCGAGAGTTTTGCCTAATCTTTAATGTAAAAATGTAAGCATATAAGCTGTAGGCTTTTATAGTAAAAGATGCGAACTTTGGCAAAACTTAATGATTTACAATGGGATTCACTTACGAAAAACTGTTAATAATACCGTATTTTCTCTAATAGTAGTGCACCCTGCGCGTCATCTAAATTGTTCGAAATCTCCAGAACCGCTTATCAGAACCTATCGATGTGGGATGGGAAAATGTAGCTGACGATGAGATCTTGTGGGGGATTTGAGTGTTGAGCTTCCGCAAAAGCTTGGAAGCCGTAAAATAGTGACCAACTCGGCTCGCCCGGGTGCACTACTATTAGAGAAAATACGGTATGGAATGAAATGGATTCGAACGAATGAATTTGCCCAAGAATGCTCTTTTTCGCTTTCGGTTTCAATCGTTTGGCTGAATATTTTGGTTGGGTCGTAAATAAAATGTAAATTTTGCAGCTGTAAATGCAAAATTTAGCATAAAAATCAATGATTTACTATGAAGCGTTAAGTACACGTGTTTACCATTGAAGGGATTCTCCAAAAGTGATTTACTATCGAGCGTGATTTACTATCGACTGATTTACTATCGAGCTTTTGTCCTTGTATTTTCTTAAGCATTTTTTCGGAATTTTTTGAAAAGTGATTTACTATCGAGCGTCGACTGTACAATAAAACGAAACATTTGATTGACTGGTTGCAAAAAGAAAGGAACGGAATACCGATTGCTTGACTGATTAAATCCATCAAATTGAAGAGTGATTTACTATCGAGCGTCGACTGTATTTTGTGATCATTTCACTTCAAATATCTACGAAAGTTCTGTCCTTTTTAGAAAATTTCCCTAAAAGCTCCCGGTTGATTTGATTTCATAAGTGTTTATCGTCAAAAGATCTCTTATCTCTTTTCCACGTGATTCCTTGCGTTTTCCTTGCTCCTACTAAAAATCTAGTAGAAATCTAGTCCGAAATACAGAAAATGTTTTCAAAGCGACTTTGTTCAAAAGTTTTCGTGTCAACTCAACTTTTTAAGGATTTTAGCTCAATAACTAGTTTTCAAGAGGAGATTCAGAGCTTTCGAATGACTAAAATAGTGAACTTTTTCTTTGAATTTTCACAAAGTTATCAATGTGCTAAGAAGTATTTGAAAATCTCTCTTTGAAAGCGAAAAAACTTCGGACTTCAGTTCATCGGTGCCTTTTTCGAGTTTTACATGTGCGTTTGGTGTATGCCGAAGATCCACACGCCTCGTTATATGGGATCGGTTTATGGTTTAATGGCAAGTGTCTTCAATGTGGGCACATTCTATCAACAAGTGCGGCGTTGAGCTCGATTTCTTTTTCCATAAACATTTCCTTTTTCGATGTTCTGCTTCGTTGCCATCAATGCTTTATTGCTGACTTCTTGCGGACAATTGGCGGCTTTCCGAGCGAACAGCATTCTCCTTTATGGATCGCCGTTCAAAATGAAGACGAAAACTTTTGTGATATTCCTTGGAATTCTTTATTTTGCACTTTTATTCTTGGTCATTGGCAATCAGCTTTTGATTCGACGCGAGCAAAATGGAATCGAGAATGCGAGAGAGTTTTTGAAGGTAACGATGAATTGACTAGCAGAGTAGAGCGTTCTTTGTGAGCGCGCGTAATCGCTCCCCATCTGGCACACACCACCGATAGATAGTGCGCTAAAAGTCACCGTTGATTTGGTCGCAAAGGGACCATCTATCCGTCGTTGGAGTGTGCCAGCTGAGGAGCGATTACGCGCGCGCACAAAGAACAATCAGTGATTTTTCTTTTCTTTTGTAAATGATGTAAATGATTTCCAATTTGAATTTAGTGTTTAAAATTTGTGCCGCAGGGTTTTTTCAGAGGCTTTGCGACCTATTGGCAGTTTTATATAGAAACGGAGAAAGTGAATCGGTTTATCAATGTATTGAAATCAACCTTGAGTATCTCAGCTAGTTTTCGTTGAAAAGAATGTAGAATTTATAGAAAAATGTTCCCAGAATTAAGCCGAATTTAAGGCATAAATTATTCCCAAAAATTTGAGCATAATGACCACCAAAACGGCTTTTACACAAGAAATTCTCTTTTGCTTTGTAGATGGTACAAAAAGAAGCCTAAAACGAGAAAGCCGGCTCAGTCACTCATCGCTCCTTTTCTCTTAAGGATTCCAAAAGGAAAGCACCTTATACCAAAGGGGAATGCCAGATGGCGGGCGATTACCCGTCGCACAAAGCAAACCTCGAGACCCTTTTACAGAAGAATTTCTCTTTCGCTTTATAGATTATAGAAAAAGATTCTTACCCGGGGATTCTCGGGGTCGGGGAATCGATTGACGGGGTTTTTTCAAGGTCTTGGTTGGCTAAACAAACAGCTAAACTGAAAGAAGGATGCGATCTGACTTCAAAGTTTTGTCTCTTGATTTCCTTAGGATTTTGTGGTCCAATCAATTTGATTTTGTATCATTTCAAAACCTGAAGTGTCTTCCATTAAGTTAACAATCATTATTTCTCTCTAGACAAAATTATGGACCCTCGAAGTGCGACTATTCATTCGAAAATCCCGAATAGCGGTCAAAAGTTGTTATGATTGAAAACACTTTGCAACTTTTACGGCAGAAACATCAAAGAGAGCTCTTTTCCTTTTCTCCCACCTATGACTCACCTCCCAACGAGCGCTCTCTGTGCGTTCTCTCTCCACGTTTCCCCATTGTCCCCTCAATCGCTCACTTTCTATCACACTCTAATACCGCGGGGTATATCTATTCCTTTCGATTTTCTCCTTCTCGTGGTCCGGAGTCGTCGGGTTATCTTTGAAATTTACCGAAAAATGTGACTCTTCGAGTGAACTCGATGTGACGGGATTCCCCCTGTTTGGGATCCCCCATCGAGTCAAAAGCCCGCCTACAAAGCTCTCTCAGAAAACAACCTATCCGCCGGCATTCACTCGACAAACTTTTTGCGGAATTGAGGGAAACATAATCTGAAAACTTTCAATCCTTATAAAAGCAGTAGATTTTAATTTTTTTCAACGGCTTCTTGGATTGGTGGCTTAAAGCGTGACTCGATTACCATATCCTCAACCCGGTGATACGTTACAGTAACCCGTAAAGATTGAAGTCTCTGTTACAGTAGCCCGTCACACACGGGTTATAAGCTTTTAGAAGCACGTTTCTTGAACCTAAAGTTCCACGAGACTTGGATTGGCGGTTTAACACGTGGCTCGACTACCGTAACCCTTAACTAGTTGGCTACAGTAATCCGGAATGATTGAAGGAGTTAGATAGAGATAGAAAAAGCAAATATCTATTGGAAAAGTTCAAACCAGGTACCTCTTCACTGGGGCTACGGTAGCTGGGATATGCTTTCTACTTTCTACTCAAGTGCAAGCAAATTTCCAGACGGATCTCCAATTCCCGAGCCTTCACTCCCCAGACACAGCCAAGTCCCTTTACCTCGTTGACACCACGAAATTCTATGGCCACTTGTTCCTAGTGCTCACCTGTTTTATGCTGATTTTCATAAACCTATGGATTCTGTTCTCTTCAACAATTATGATCTTTCAAATCTACTCGAAACTCGTCTCAATTCAGAGTGCACAACAAGTGAAACAGTATTTGATCGGCGTACAATTACAGGTGAACTTGAAAATAAAATTGACACTGAACAAAAATAGATCTCTCCGTGTATCATTTGCTATTTGATACCGACTTGCTGGCTGTTTTGAAAAATCCCACGTTTGCCATGTTTTTTGCCTTTTGTGAATGAAAGATTTGCTTGAGCCGAGATTCGAAAATTCGTTTACAGCTTCATCTGCTATATATAAAAAAGCAGTGTCTGTCCATCTCTATAGGCTTTTTATCATCCGTCTTTGGGCCAAAAAAAGCTGAAATTTCTCTTAAAAGCTCTTAAAATATAATATAGTTGTGCCATTTGAAATAAAAAATCAAAAAGTCAAAATTGCGCGGCATTACGGGGGGTCGGAGCCGGACCGAGCCGTAGACAAGCGCGCTCCCGACCGAGCCAAAGTGACAAATGATCAAGCGGGAAAACCCCGTCGTTACCAGGGTTTTTCTGTTTTTTTTCGGCTGATAATAAAATATTTAGCTTTTCATAATTCGTAGGGCCAGAATCCACTTTTGATTGAAAATCCCAGGAGAATTTCTGTTTTTTTTGGCACAAAAGCAACTTGAAAGCAACTTTTCAACAAATTTGAATCAGTTTTGGTATTGTGAGCCGGATCTTGAGGGGAAGATCCGCGAACGTTTGAGATTTCGAAGAGATTGAATGGGCCTCGAGGAAAGGATACGATTCCGGTAATCCTGAAATGAAGCTGATTTTGAGTGCAGAACTCAAATACAGTCGACGCTCGATAGTAAATCACTTTTGGAGAATCCCTTCAATGGTAAACACGTGTACTTAACGCTTCTTAGTAAATCATTGATTTTTAAGCTAAATTTTGCATTTACAGTTGCAAAATTTACATTTTATTTGCGCTCGAACCAAAATATTCAGCCAAACGATTGAAACCGAAAGCGAAAAAGAGCATTCTTGGTCAAATTCATTCGTTCGAATCCATTTCATTACATATTATTAACAGTTTTTCGTAAGTGAATCCAATTGTAAATCATTAACTTTTGCCAAAGTTCGCATCTTTTACTATAAAAGCCTACAGCCTACAGCCTACATTTTTACATTGAAGATTAGGCAAAACTCTCGGTAGTAAATCACGCTTGATAGTAAATCATTTTTGGCGAATCCCTTTGATGGATTCGACGATTTACTATCGACGATTTACTATTGTACTTTTGAGTACAGTGCTACAGCACTACTCTGAAGCAGTATTTTCAAAGTCAACCAACCCTGAACCCAACGAAAACCATCGTTGAATCGATGAATGGATACAATGAGACAAAGATCGGTTGATAATAGCCAATTTCTTCGTAATATGGAAAACCTGAAAGAAGATTTCTTTGGTGATTTCTTGGTTGTTTGATTATTTGTTTGAATAATTAGTTTTCAATGTTCACAACTTGAAACGTTTTTTATGAAAACCGAACAGTTTTCTAGTTTCCAGCGAACCTAACGGTCCAGCCGCGACATTCGTGAAACATGGAAGGTATTCAAAGAAGAGAGGCACAACCGCCTGAAAGATTTACATAATTCCTTCAATTTTTCTAAATCAGCTAAAAAGCTTATGGTATTCTATCGTTTAAAAGTGGGAAAACGTGTACTTGAATGAGAAATAATCGCATCAATTGATAATTCATTCGTTTTGTTCGCTCACTGACGAGTGATGCGCGGATGAAAAGGAAACTGAATAGTGATTGACTCGAAGATAAAGGCTGTGCTTGACGGCGTAAACACACCTTTCTCAAGCTTTCAAATTCAGAATCAAAGCAATAATTGTATCAGGAGTTGTTCTAGAATCATTTCTCGTCAGAAGTCAGACCAGGCAAGCCAATCCTGGCTTTACTGAAAGTCATAAAAGGATTGAAACCGGGCTTCTGGGATGCAATTGCATCAATGTTCAACTAGAATGTGTTCTTATTGAGTAAGTAAGTACTTAAATAAATTTGCATCAGTAATTTTTGAGTAACGCCTTGAGTAATTCAAGTAATGCCATTCGAAAAAACTTTAAAACCCCCGAAACAGTCATTCTTGTTTCATTTTAAAAAGTAGTCGAGAATAGATTTTTTGAGCTGAAAATTCGTGAGATAGGAATAGTCATTTTTTACTAAACTCCACTTTGAAAAAGGAAAAGAAATAAGTAAAGTTGTCGATGTCGTTGTCGTTATCAATGCTGGTGTCGAGGCTGATGTCGATGTCGATGCTGATGTCGATGTCGATGCTGATGTCGTTGTCGAGGCTGATGTCGTTGTCGAGGCTGATGTCGATGTCGATGCTGATGTCGATGTCGAGGCTGATGTCGTTGTCGATGTCGATGTCGATGTCGATGGATCGAACCCGGATCGCGTGTACAAGAGACAAGCGCTCCCACTGAGCCATCAGTGCACAGTCGAAGGCGATCAATTTGCATTTAAGTTGATGGCTACAGTCATTTACGTTACGCGGAACTGCATTACTCGAGAGGAACACACAGATAAAGGTTGAGAGGGTTACGGTAATCGGGGCCTCCTTTAGTCAGGTATCTGACAAGGGAATGGTCCAAAGTTAAGGTGAAAGATTGAATCGGCATTGTTCTATATGTAAAATAATCATAAAATTTAGCGATTTAGCATAAAAGGAGCCAATCATTTTATTTTCTAGACATTTTTGCTGAGTTTTTAGCTGATTTCAGTAATTCAGTGTTCCCTGCGTAAGCTAGAAAAGTTCAACACTTTGATAGCTTTGATTCGATTTGATTTGAGACAAGATTGCTTTGATTCAAATTTTCTTGATGCTTTGCTTCAAAATATTCAACTTACAATTTAACTTACAGCTTTAATCCGAATAGACAAACGACTGTATAAAAAAGACCAAGCAGGCTGAGACATCCAATACTTCCGATCAGATTTTTCCACAGTACTTTTGTTTTTCCATTCTCATCCGTTATCTAAAGGTGGTTTCAGACAGATTTTGGTATCATAAGTGCTTTCTAGAAGGTTCTTTACGTGTTCTTTCGTTTAACGTTTACCTACCATATAAAGTGGTCCCAAGTATCCGAGATTCTCGATGCTCACATTGTACTTTCTGAGCAGATTCTCGCGACTCACACGATTTCTTTCCGGTGATGGCTTAAAAAATGAGTTTAGATGACATTTAGATGGCATTTAGATGAAACTTTAATACATCATGATGGGTTTTACTTTGTTTTACTGTTAAAACTAACGATTAGCTTACATTCATTGACAATTGACAAAACAGAAGCCAGAGAACTCCCGACAAAAAGTGAGCAACGACGATGGCGGATAGATAAGACCAACGATCAAATAGATAAGTCAATTTGCTGAAAGATTTCAGTTTTAGAAAGCTTTAGAAATGAAAGAGAAAGCTTTAGGAAGCTTTAGAAATCTTTAGAAATGAAAGCGAAAGCTTTAGAAAGGGTCGCGTCCGTTTCCTTCCTATTTGCGTTGCTATTTTGCAATTATTCGCGTCGCATTTTTCGCCCTTTTTCTCCCTTCCCGAAATTGTTTTTTTTTAGTCTGCGGGCTTTTGCCTTCCCTCTTGGGGGACTTTTGTTGTTTCATTTTTGATGCGCATGCAGTTTTTGTAATGGTTATTGTTGCATTTCGGTTCTGTACTAATAAACAGTAACATTATAAATTCACTTTGCTTTATGCTACCCTTCAGGTTTTAAACCCTGCTTAGATAACTGGTTTTACTAACATTTGTGTCACCATCGACGTAGTATCAATCCGATCCGTACTCTTCTCAAGAGTATTAATCTATTGTTGGATACTACGTGTTCTTGTTACGTTATAAGCGCTTTTGGGGAAACCCTTTTTAACCTTTTGTGCTATTCGGCCATTCTTAAGCAGAATCATCCTCGTGGATAAGGTTAAAGCGGGTCGCACCCAAACTAAAGCTTTCAAAATGAAAGAGTTCAGTTTTAGAAAGCTTTAGAAATGAAAGAGTTCAGCTTCAGAAATCTTTAGAAATCTTTCTTTGCGTGATACCTTGTGATTTTAACAAATCGATAGAGACCGTGAATGGCGAGAAGGGAAATCGACATGATGAATGAGTCAACGTACACCTAAAGGACCAAATTTTCACGCTTTTCAATCTTCTGATTTTAGAGTTATGAAAAGGTTTATCATTGTGGCCAGATAGGAGGCCCAGAAGCCATATGGTTGCATCTGTTTGCTGAACATAACAAAACCGTCTTTTTCGAGAAGAAATCCCTGAACGGTTAATCGTTTTTCATAATGGGAAAATTCCACCTTCGTTCTCTCGGTCATTTCTCAGCCGATTGCTCTGAAATTTCGTCTACAGATAAAAATTGAGATTTGCCGCTTGTGGACGAAATTTCAGAGCAATCGGCTGAGAAACGGCCGATTCCCCTGAAGTAAGCTTGAAAAAGAATGATAGGTTTCTTCAGAGTAATACCGGGAATCATTCCCAACAATTTTTTCGAGTCAGGTCAAGTCAGAAGTTGGTCTTGGGCGCCGGCCTTGCCTAGTAGATTGATATAAGATCCAAGTGTAAGACAGTGTCTAGATATGGGGAAAATATTGATAGATATTGATATAAGATAGGGAAAATTCCCATCCGACCCAAATCCCACTTTGGTTTTCCACTTTGGTTTTTTCTCAGCCGATTGCTCTGAAATTTCGTCCACAAGCTGAAAATGTCAATATTTATTTGTAGACAAAAATTTCAGAGCAATCGGTCAAGAAACGACCGAGAAAACGAAGATGGAATTAGGTTCGGCTTGTTTAATTGTTTAATTTAATTAATCCCATGTTTAATTATAGCTTTTTTTGGGTAGACTTGGCCTTCATTCCAAATTAAGAATTTCAGCATTCGGGTATCGATGCTTGTCGGTTATACACCAACAACAATTATCTACATTTTCATAAAAAAATTCACATTTAATCCAAATTAATAGACAAAATACGAAAGAAACCCTGAACCTCAAGCATTTACAATTACAGTTGCAAATGGAAATTTAGGTTAAATGCAAATTTTGTGGAATATAATCGACAAGTACCTTTTTGCTTTTTCGTCAGACTTGAGCGACTTTTCGTCTTTTTCCAAACAGCTTTTCTGCTTTCTAAAGAGAACAAAAGCCGACCAAAAAATCAAATCAGTCAAATGGAATTCTCAGTCTGGATTTGATTTGAAAAAATGCCCTTGGTTCTATGATATCATTGTTCATCATATCACTTACAAGTTGTTTTCTCAAAAAGTCTCAGAAAATCTTTACTGAAAGTCATAAAAGGATTGAAACCGGATAGAAGCCATTGCTGGGTTTATCTTTCTTCTTTTTTTTATGGCCTGGTTAAGCGTCAAATCAATCAAATTGAATTCTAAGTCTGGATTTGATTCGAAAAATGACCTTGATTCTATCATATCGTTGTTCATGATATCACTTTCAAGTTGTTTTCTCAAAAAGTCTCATAAAATCTTGACCATATCCGTGACTGCATGCACGAGTCCATAGTAGAGATTATACAGTGTGATAATGCCCAAAATTCGTTTATATCCATTGTGAGACTTCTAAAACTTTGAAGATTTAGCAACTCTTTCCTTCAGAGATCTCTTATTTAAGCCTTTCTTTTATTTACCGATTTATCGGTGAGAATAAAATACAGTAGAAAGCCGTTCGCAGTGAAGCCGAAAAAGCAACTCAAATAAACATATTGACTTTGAAGCGAGGAATTCATATTTTCAAAAAAAAATAGCTCAGACGGACTTTTACCCTCGAAAATTGACCGTTTTCGGGTAATTGGAGCTTTTTTTTGGGGAAATTTTTCCAAAGTCCTCTAGGGATTTGGTAAAAAATGCGATTCAAGGGTGACTTTTGGAAAATAAATGAAAAAAAAACGTAGTGATGTGTACTCTTGAAATCAAAGATGCTCTGGGATTTATAAAAGGGAATTTCAAAGGGAATTTCAAAGGAATTTCAAAGATTACCGAGTCGAGTCGCTAAAAATTGAGCTCAATGTCGATTTTTCAGTCGAGAGGTGTCAAAAAAATTTAAGATTAGCTAGATTGTGGCCAGCCTTTTTCATGGCCTTCTTTAGCCCAACCAAACATTTTTTAAACCAGTAGAATGACAAGAAAGTTCGTAGAAAAAGTCTCCAAAGCTCATTTCTCAAAAATTTCTCAAAAACTAAGCCATCAGTTCTTTCCAAATTTTTTGAGAAACTTGACTAGATTTCAAAAAAAATTTTTGACAAAAAAGAGAGATTATAGAGCATATTTATCTTTGGTTTACTTCATGAGAAATCATTTTTTTTTGAAAAGCAAAAAAATGAGCTCAATCTAGGCTGAAAAAGAATACTTTTTCATAAATCTCTAAATTTTAAGGGAAAGCTGCACTCATTTTTTACGAGTAATTTCTTGGAGTTCATTGTAAATGATAGAACAAAGTGCCCTTGAATTGATGGATTTGTTTTGAAGAAATTCCAGTCAAACATCTTCTGCGAACTTTCTTTCCAACCTGGTAGAAATTATTCATCGGCTACAGTTCCTCTGCAGGAATAGTAAATTCGATCATTTTGATCGTCTTTTGCCCTTTTAATGGCCTCTTCAAAACAAAACGGAGAAAAGCGCACTGATAAAGATTTTTTTGCTTTTCGATGAACAAAAAGGGATTGGAAAACGTTTAATCAATCAAAATCTCTAAAAACTTCTTTTTGGGGGTTATGTGAGTGAGACCATTCGAGAAAAAAGTTCATCGAATAAATAGAGCTCTCGTTTAAGATTTTGTTCATCAAATTTCAGTTCCAGATTAAGATTCAGTTGTTCGGAAATGCGGTTTATTTTGCTCATTTTCATTCTTGCACTCATTTCTGTTGGTTTCGCGGGGTAAGTGGCTTCTAAAAGTAATATATTACGTAAATCTCAGACTGATTGAATTCTTAAGTGATTTAAATAAGGAAATTCTTAAGTTCTTAAGCGATTCTTAACTGATTCAACTCTTCAATTCTAGATTTATAATCAATTTTGAAACAATAAATGTTTAATCGAGAAAGAATTGATTTTAAAGGATACAATTTGGATTCAGACCCGTCCGCCGCAGTCCACTCACCGACGAAGAAAAAGCTGCGAGAAGAATTTCGTTGCAACGATTGGCAAATGTGTTGAACGATCGAATTTCTGATCATCCTTGGTGAAATCTTGAATCTTCAGCAAAGAATTATGATGCCTTCAATTTTTCCGTTATAAATTTATTCGAGAATACAAAATACAACAGTTAATTTATAGTGAACGAACCTCACACAAATCAGGGAATTTTTAAAAGTCGGAGATAATTTATCAAGTTTAAGTAGAAGTTTAAGAAGTTTGCAGATCGGTTTCGGAGATTTTTATATAAAGTAGTTGAAGCTCTAGAATTCCAAGGGTTATTTGATTTGGTAAAAGTTACTCAATTTGGAATAAACCTTTCAAAAAATGTCTAATCATCACTGTCAATCACTGAAAGAATTGATTCAACCGTCAATTGTAGCACAGAATACAATGAATACAATTGATCGGAGCCGATATCAAGAGCAAAGTAAAGGAAACGATTCGAATCGAGTTTTTTCTTAAAAATTGGCGTTTGCTTCCCCGAAATGTTTAAAGAACGTTCAATTTCATTGGTGTCGGTCCAGAATAATTTGGTGTTCCTCATCGCGATTAGCAACGACAAGATTTCTCCTTCACTTGAATCATTCTCAATCTGTTGAAGCCCCAGTCGATCCTTGGAAAAGGCTTTTATCTTCTCGATTTTTCTTCAGACTTAAATCTGCCGAAACGGAGATATTAATTTTCTTACCTGACCGAAGATTTTCGGAGAGAAAGTCACTCATAAACTCCAAATTCCAAATCGACCAATAGATCTCGAATTTATTGCTCACTTCTGGACAAGCTTTTGAAAAGACCCTCTCCAAAACTACCAGTGAATCGCTACATAAAGCGAAATAGACAACAAAATCGAAGGTCGGCATAAAGCATTTTATGAGTACAATTTAATGGATTATTTGATGGATCCGAGAAAAAAGCCATGAACCTAAAACTAGCGTAAGAGATTTTGCGCAGAAAATAGCGACCAATTGTCTCAGAGCAGGGGAACTTTTCTCCATAATTGATCTCCATCAAAACTTTGTTTTATTTTGAGGCAAATGAATGGGGAATTTCGAATGAAATCCATTTTGATTTTATTCCATATTCCAGATCTGACTCAGGAGCGACGAAAGAGCAAAATCCTTGCAGCTTCAGGTGGAATTCTGGGTTTTTGGGAAAACTTTTTATAAGAGATTTTGAGGAAGCAGTTCAGAAATAAAGAAAAAGTTAATGTGCAGTTGTGTGTTTTCAGAAGATTAGGCCGAACATTTTGGCCTGAATGTGACTAATAAGTCCAATAATTTGGACTGGCTTGGAACAAACACAAGAAAGTACAGATTCCCTTGTCTATTTCAATAGCTAAGTTTAGCGAGAATCGCATTCGAAGCGTTGATGGGGAATGACCAGTTGCCTACCATGGAACAACGGTGCGAAACGCAGCGCGGAAAAATTCAGAAATAAAGAAAAAGATAATGTGGAGTTGTGTGTTTTCAGAAGACTGAATAAAATGGGATTTATTGGTATTTGTCCACAAGAAAGGAACACAAAGCATCTATCAGAATTGAGAGCTCCTTTTGCAGATAAAATAACGCTGATGGGTAGGAACAATGACCTGCCATTTCCCATCGTGGCTCAGAAGCTGAAATGAGTTAATTCCTGATGAAAAATCTTTGATAAAACACTTTGCGTTATTTCACAAAAAGAAATTTCCTCAAACTGATCGAAATATTTTTGGATTAATTATGCATTGCAAATTGGAATAAATATTGATGATTTCACTTTGAAAATCTCACCGTAGAGTGGGTTCTCGAAGCCGGTTCTCCCGGATACCAATTCGTGAAATCCACCGAACTTCCATCCGTCCATTCCAAAGCTTTTCCTTGGTTCGGATTTCTCTGAATAAAGAAATTTTTATGTTTAGACATTGATATTTCGATCCGATTTTCCTTTCTTATTATTGAAATTATTCTAGTTTCTCAATTGAAACCATTATTTCTACCAAAGAAATATCAATCAAACGAATCATTTTTACAAGGAGCCTTCCGAGAATGGCTCTTTCAGCCATTCTCGGTTCTTTCAACCATTACTTTCTTTTTTTGTTATTTCTTTCGATAAAGAAAAATTCAACCTTCAGTCCTATCCAGAAGCCAGTAGTCGAATGAACAGTTTCCGCTAAAATAATCGATTGTTTTTGGTTTATAAAGCATAAATTTCTGCATAAATTGAATCATTTCGATTTCTTACCGAGTTCTTGAACAAAATCGTTCTCTTCCTGACTGTGAATTGTGACTAAATGGCTCTTTCGACTCGCACAATATGCCTCGGCTTCATCAAATGTAATTTCTTGATCGATAACCTTGAGATGAAGATAATCCTGGTTCACAACATCCACCAAACCTTGTACCAAGAAGCGGTTTTTGCCAAATACGACCATCCATCCCGATACAGATTCAAGAGATTCATCGTTCGATTTCTGAATTTCTTCGAAAAATGTACTTCAGACTTTTTAAACGAATACTAAATCCTTTTCCTTAAAAAAAAACTCACAAATCTGCATGCAACTTCGCAATTTCGATCGTTTTTTTTTCCCTTTCAAATTGTCTAGAGAGGAAATGATTGGATTAAGTGGAATGGGTGTTTTGGGAGTGTGTTCTCAAGTGTCAGTTGACAAGAGGTACCAAATAAACTCACATTTGAGTTTCAAAGCTAGAGATCTTGCTCTGCAACGCGTTGATTTTCCTTTCGAGCTTTCCAATCTTGGCTTTTCCATCTCTCACTTCCGTATTTTGAGTTTTTCTGAAAAAAAAATGGGAGGAATTGATTGGATTGAGTGGAATGGGTGTTTTGGGAGTGAAAAAGCTGTTTTCTCAATTCTCAGTCGACAGGAGATAGATTCTAATATTGTTGAACCCACAAATCGGCCTTCAATGCGGAGATGGTCCTTGACATTTCGGCGACCTTGGAATCTCTGGAAGTGTCTCATTCTCAGATATTTCATATATATATTTCATCCTCAGGTAATATAGCTATTTGAAGGGAAAAGAATACGTGAATTGATCCAATTGATTGCTTTGTTGAATCGACGAAGAAATTTGATGGAAAAGGAGGAGAATCGTGATGAATAGACCGACGGCCATCACACCCATTCCGCTGAATTGGTTGATTCGTTTTGAATTCGGGGAAATGGGAAGAACGAATGAGGCAACCATGCGATAAACAATTGTTTTTCTGACGGAAAAGAGCTTTTGAGGGCTCTGAAATTGTTTAGAAAAGCGATCGCCTTCCAACCGATGATTGACTCATTAAGTCGTTGAAACAATCGCTTCGAATAGAACTTCGAATAAGAAGAACGCAGAGCCTGAAATAAATGTGGGTATTTTCATGTGTGTTCCCCGCCAAACTCCATTCAATATTCTTTAATTCTTTCAGGGATAATAAAACGGTCAGGGATCGAGAAGCGGCACACAGATTTATGAGTTATTGGGTTGGTGAATTGAAAACTGCCGGCTATCGTCATATGTGACAGTTTGAGCACTTTCTTCAAAAGAAACCCATTTTGGTGTCAATGGAAAAGTGGTAGATAATCAAAAATGAAGCTTATATCCAAATTTTCAGAACGATTCAAAAACTGGTTTTCAAGAAATGCCAAATTTACGAATTTTCACAAAACTTGCATTTTAAGCGAAACTACTCAGTGTATCTTTTTGGAAATTTGGCTATAAGCCTAATGTTTGATTCTCTACAACTTTTCCATTGGTTTGGAGGGATGGATTTAGCTGACAAAGACTGCCTCTTTTGGTGGGCCGAGGCCAAACGGACTCGAAATGGAAAAGGCCAAACGAACCAAACTAAAAGTGGACGGCACCCGGAGTGATGACCATGCAATTGCTCGGCGAGGTGAGCAGCGCCTCAAAAATATCCACAATACGATATCAAGGGTCATTTACTCCTAATCAGTGCAGTCTTGGGTGATTCGGAGGTTGGCTATTTGATTCAATGATGCGATTCCCTAGCCTAATGAAAGAATATGAGCATTAAATTCCCTGACCAAAAGGAATAGGTTCAGTTTTACTCCCAAGTTCCGGTTGTTGATAGTTGAAAAGAATTAAAGGTCGAACCCGGCAATTCTTGACACAAATCTCGTCGACAGTCTTGTGGATCGTTTGGCAAATAACTCTCGAAACCGCCCCATTCTCACTCGCTTGGTGGATCCTGAAGCTTAGAGTTGCTGCCCTTACTCGTATCTTTTCGTTATCTAACCCTCACTCACCGGTCCAAAAGTAGTTTTTGACGGTTTTCGAGACTAAAGCGTTTCCCATTTCCTAATCGCCATCAAATGACTTCTCAGACGAGAGATCATGTCTTTGCCGATAAAGAAAACCGATAGATCCGACCGTGCACACGCGAACAATCGAGCGAATGTGGAAACCGTTTAAAGACATGAACAGACGTCGACATGGCACCCACGGCACCATGGTGGATTCGTATATCGCTGAGGGATTGTCGCATCGCAATTTGCCTGCCGGAGTGAATGCATTCGAGTCGATCATGGAGGACATCGTCGATTTTTGGCCCGCGGGGGCGGAAATGAATACAATCCCTTTTACAGTAAATTTGTGATTGCTAGAAAGATTTTTGTCTTGGTTGGTTCGTCGTTTACATTTCTTTCGTTGTTATGGTCAATTATACTAATAATGAACATTTTTTAGGTAGCCAATTGTTCGTTCGGGATTGTGGAGCGTTCGGCAAAAAGAAAAGGCGACCGATAGGGAAGGTAGAGGTAGCTCTTCAAATCCGGCTCTATCACATTGTACAAGATGAGCTTTTCATCCTTCTCGAATGACGAACGATCACCATGCCGTTGAAACGTTGAAACGTTGAAACGATGCCGCATGCTTTTTGTCGAAAACCACAACGCATCTGTGCGCTTGTTCGTTCGGTTTAGAAGTTGTGAAAAGCTGACTCTCATAACGTTTGATTTTCGCTTTATCCATTGCAGTCAAAAGAAATACTAATCAGAATTGAGCTAGTATCACCAAAACAAAAAAATGTTTTAAAAAAGGTGTAAGCTTTAGCGCTGAAAATTTCTCAAAATGCACCTTCATAACCATTTTCTTTCAAAAAATGTAGACGTTCATTATTTAGCTGAATATCTTTAACTTCCTTCTAGTAGTTTAAAAAAGTTCAGACGAGCAATTATTTTATCGAGGCGTCCTCGTCTCGGTTGGCGGTTACATGGATGTCCAGGTGAGGTTGTCTTTGTATACAGTTTTTATGACATAGCTTAAAGCTACATAGTTTGGAGAGGTACGTTCTGAATTTTGTTAGTTTTTATGTCACTTGTGAACAGTCAGATATATGACGAGGAAGCTTGCTTAGGCCTAGGCATTCGCAAATAAATTTTTTATCTTTTAGATGGCTAACGCGGAGGAATACATTGAAGAACAAACATTGAAGCTTTGGGAGAAATTTTAATAAGGTGATTAGTGTATCTTTGTCTAATTTGTTTAAATCTAGGTGCAACAACATCCTCTACATCGGAGGCGCCGAAGACTCGGAAGGTTGATCGCCTAGTTTTCATTATTTATCATTTCGCAAACTTGTTGAGTGTGTAACGCTTTATTATTTTTTAATTCTAGTGATGCCTGGAGCCTATCTGACCACTCCCGACAAAGAAAAGATTATGGAAGCAAGGAAACGAGGCGACAAAGTTAAGGATGTTGCGAGCGTATTCAAATGCAGCCCCGAAACGATGAAAAAGCTTTGCAAGAAAGAAAAAACGACTGGAATTCTTCACCGAGCATTCAAAACAGGTCGTTCACCCGTCACAACACCAAGAGAAGACAAGGTTCTAATTTTGGCCCACAAAAAGGATCCAAATCTTAATGCTTCCGATGGAGTCAGATTAATCAAGCATCAATTTAACAAGGACATCAATCGAACGACAGTAAGCAGACGTTTGATTCATGCAGGATTGATGACTAGAAGACCTGCCAAGAAGCCCCTGATGGTCGCCAAACACCGGAAGATTCGACTCGACTTTGCCGAGAAGTATGAAAGTTGGACAAGCAACGACTGGGCCAATGTCATCTTCACCGATGAATCGAAGATCAACTTTTTCAATCCCGACGGCAATCATTTAATCCGGAGACCTATCGGAAAACAATATAACACCAAATACCTTCGTCCGACAGTCGAATTTGGTGGCAGATCAATCATGTTGTGGGGTAAGAAACTTTTATCTTTATGCCTATTGACTTTTTTTTTCAGGAGCGATGACTAGAAGTTCACCAGGTCCGCTCGTTCTTCTCAATTCAACTTTGGACGCTCAACGATACAAGGTGATTTTGGAGAACGATCTTCTTCCATTTGCGACCACAAAAATTGGACAAGGGTGGTTGCTGTACCAGGACAACGCTCCATGCCACAAGTCGCAACTGCTAATGGGACGAGTTGTTCGCCTTGCCAACGGTGGTAGAGCTCGTCTACCCGGATGGTTCCGATCGAATGGAGTTCAGCTCGTATCTGCTCCTCCCTACAGTCCGGATTTGAACGTTATCGAACATTTGTGGGCGTTTTTGAAGCAGAAATTGAAGGGAAAACGCTTCAATACCAAGATTGAGCTATGGTACTTCATTCGACACGTCTGGACAAAGATATGTCCTCAAATTTTACAGGATTTGGTCGACTCGATGCCGAGAAGGATTCAAGCAATAATTTCATCAAAAGGAGGCCCTACCAAATATTAAAATACTCGGTTTTTTCTCACTTTTTGTTCGAGGGGTAAAGACTTTTGTCCACCTGTTTTGAGGGTTTTTTTTGTTAACGTCGTTCTTTGTTGCCTAAAATAAATCGTTGTTTCTTTTGGTTATGGGATATAAAAACTAGAGTAAAAATGCTACAAAATACTTTGAAAACAATTTTTAAAACTTGTTAAAAAGTTGAAAAATTTTGCGTTTTAAAAGCTGACCTCGGTAGGGGTAAAGACTTTTGTCCATGACTGTATCACAAGGCACAAAATAGCAAACGTCTTTTTGGCACCGTGCCAGGCTGTGGGTGGCCCAAAACCATTCTTTTTTAAAAAACTTTCTATAGAAACTAGCATGTATCATATATCATTTGAAAGCTCTAATTCTCAGCATCATTAATACATTCAGGATTCTCTGGTTAGAGCTTATCCTTACTGGGCTTCGGAATGAGCTCGCAGCGAGCACCTACCGCAGTCTGCCATTTCTCTTGGCCCTCGAACGAATTCTTACTTCTTAGCCCTCCTCAAATGAGGACTTGTCTTATAAATTGCCTAAAGAAAATGATAAAGGCAATCTTATTCACTAAAAGTTAAGGAAATCTTCAAGATCAGCTCAAATAAAGCAAAGAACTGCACTGCACATAATGAAAAAGTCATAAATGGAATTCAGATCGACACCTCCCTTCACTTGAGACGTCATCCCTACACCCATGCTGACTCGAAATTACTCTCTTCCCTCCTTTATCAGCCTCAAAAATACGAGAAAGGGACGGTGATCCGGCATCGAATGTACCCGAAAATTTCATAGATTAGATAAGAGCAGTTTTTGCTAAAAAATACTTTTTTCTGAAATTTTGTGATAGATATTAATTTTTTTCTTTATTTTTGTTTTTTTTTGTTTTTTAACCTTACGTTTTATATTTTTTTATTATAGAAATCATGCAACGTCGCAAGTCTTATACGGCGGCTTTCAAGCTTGATGCGGTGAAGTACCGGGATAAGCATGGAAGACTAGCGGCAGCTATTCATTTTAATGTGGATAAAACAATGATTAGAAAATGGGTTGCGGATAGGGATATCCTCGAGGAGATGCCAGCAACGCAAAGAGCCCGGCGTTACAGAAAGGTCAGTGTCGTCGATGGTTTCTGTGCCTCCTAAAAATTTTTAAACAACCCGATCTGGAAATTTTCAAGATATTTCACCAGAATATTTTCAGCCTTGAATTTCATTTATTCATCTTTCATCGGATTTGTCGAGTGCATGAGTCAGAAAGGGGCACAAAGAAGTGGGAAAGGGGAGGAGCGGGATAAAAAGTGCCTCTGGCAATATCGACCTTAGGATCTGTAGCGAACTTCACACCGTTATTTCTATTCCTCTGACTTGGTATTGAACTCTCAA